GAAACTAGTTTGCGACCGAAACCGAATTTCGACTAGTCTCAGTTTCGGCCAAAATCGAAGCAGATACTTTCTTTTAACGAAATTTATTTTCGCAATTTGCAATATGTTATTGTAAGTGGATTTTTTTGTAACAAAAAATAGTATATTCAGTATTATAATTACGAATTTATGGGAGTTGCCAACAAAGCTATAAAAACCATCAAAAATAAAATAATTAATTTGTATGTAAAAGGAAACGTTGTGCCGAACGTCGCTAAACGTGTCACAAAAGTAGTTTCAGTTTCGGCCAGATTTAAGTCAAAACCGAAACTACGGCCCAAACTCTAATTTTAAGCCGAAACCGAACCGTCGCGCTTCGGTCGGACAGATACTAACCGATACCGGTGGCATAAGTTTTTCAATAAATTAAGACGTTGATTACCGAAGCGAATTTCGTAATCGGGTCCACTGAGCCGAAGTAGTTTTACTAAAACTTTGAGTTTGTTATTACATTTTGAGAGTAAACTAGTTTAAGAGTTAATACTTATGTAAACTACATTATCCAATAGAAGCGTGAATAAAATATATGCACGCGGCGCGAAATTGCATAATTACAAACATACGCCGTATGCATATTATATTCTATTGTAGGTAATAAAGGACGGCCCTTTTGTAAATTTTTTTTGTGCACATTATACAGGGTGTTTCAAAAAGATATGTCATAAATTCTTCCTCAGATAGATTACCAAAAAATAAGTGGATTTAGCTATATTTACCTATATCAAAAACTGGCTCTCAACAAAGTTACAGGGCGTTACACTAACCTCCAGAAAAACGTTTTTTTTTTGTAAAAAGTTTGCTGTTGCAATTTTTTTTTTTTTTAATTTTTGCCAGTGCTGCAGATTTGAAGGCCCAATATTCTAAGGAGAAAAAAAAATTTAAAGCGACCCCATTTTAAAACAAGTTGGGGAGTTGGGTACCTTTTAACCTCCCCGTATTTTTTTGATATAAAGAAACTTGCTTTATCAATCTTAAAATCAAAAAGAACTATGAATTTTAAATTTTTTTTTATAGCGAAATGAACTTTGTATCTTTCTTAGTTAACGAGCTATTTACAATTTTTCAACTGAATTTCTAGAGCAATTCGTCCATCCTGAACTTAACATATCAACAAAACTAAGAGTAGGTCAGGAGTTATTGTACAAAAAACGCATATAAAAATCATTGGTGTGCCCAGGGCTATGGTTGAGCCGCTCCTGCAAAAACTACCTCTTTGATTTATATTTGTGTATTCAAGAAGGAGGAGGACATGTTGAACATTTACTAAATTACATAGTTTATATAATATGTATAATAATTATTGTCAAGTGTTTATTTTTAATTGTTAATTTTTTAATTAAAAAAATAATTTTTTTAATTACTTTTAAATTTAATAAATACATTTCCAAACCAACGTGTATTTTTATCAGTGGCATGGTAAACTCATTAGCACACCATTTTTATGGCGCCAATCCAATATTATTAATACCATTTTTACAAAAATATAAATAAAAGAGGTACTTTTTGCAGGGGTGGCTCAAGCACAGCCCTGGACACACCACTGATTTTATATGCGTTTTTTGTACAATAACTCCTGACCTACTCTTAGTTTTGTTGATATGTTAAGTCCAGGATGGATGAATTGCTCTAGAAATTCAGTTAAAAAATTGTAAATAGCTCGTTAACTAAGAAAGGTACAAAGTTCATTTCGCTATAAAAAAAATTAATAATTCATAGTTCTTTTTGATTTTAAGATCGATAAAGCAAGTTTCTTTATATCAAAAATAATACGGGGGGGGATGTTAAAAGGTACTTAACCCCCAACTTTTTTTAAAGGGGTCGTTTTAAATTTTTTTCTGCTTAGAATATTGGGGCTTCAAATCTACAGCACTGGCAAAAATTTCAAAGAAAAAATCGCAACAGCAAACTTTTTACAAAAAAAAAACGTTTTACTGAATGTTAGTTTAACGCCCTGTAACTTTGTTGGGAGCCAGTTTTTGATATAGGTAAATATAGCCAAATCCACTTATTTTTTTGTTAATCTATCTGAAGAAGAATTTATGACATACCTTTTTGAAACACCCTGTATATCTGTACCAATCTATATAGAAAAGACTTTTGTTGGTAGATAAATCTGATTTTGTTGGTAGAGAAACCATTTTTTGTTGTCACAATATTTTTTTATATGTTTATTACTTTTGTCTAATATAACCTGCAAAATTAATGTAAGTACATTTATTTTCCTTTATTTAATTGATTAGTTAGTTATTTATGTGAATAAATACTTCATCATGGGAAATAAAATGTTGTCACAATAAATATGTAACACAAAACGTAAATAGAAGGATATTACCAGACCAACTTAAATATTGCACGTCAATTCAATAGATTCCCCATAAAAAATGCACGGTACATGTCCATATTTTATAGGTACCTGGCTTGAAATCAAGCGCTTCTTGTAAATAATGTATGCATATGGCGCGATGGGAATGTTGGATATGCATCACTTGGTAGTCAACGTATTACGTAAACTTACGCAAAAAAAAAATGAAAAAAATTATTTATTATTTTTGATATTTTTTGAGAAAAAATCAATAGATGAGATAAAAATATTGACAAAAGATAGAAAGGAATGGAAAAAATCGGTATAAGAGGTAAATGAATCCTTTTCAGACGCTTAGAAAGACAGAATAAACCCGTAAAGAAGAAAAATATGATATTTTTTAATATTTGGGTACTTATTACAAAAATACTTTAGAGCATTTAAGAGTACGTGTCCTGGAGCAATTGAGCTGGTATAAGAGCATTACATAACGGGAATCAAAAGCTCTGCACGACCCAAAACCCTTCTATGGCATCACAAAGAGTAATCAAAACATGCACACAGCAGTGAATGTTTAACAAATCTCAGGAATGGTGGAATAACTCTCTAGGACAGAGACAGTCTGGTCTAAGCAATGGATATTCCTTCACTCACATAATGCTCTAAAATAAGCCTTAGTCGATTAATGTTTTAAAAAATTAAGTTACTTGATGACGTAAGTATTTCTTGTTGACGGGGACAAAAGCCGCGAGATTAGTATGCATGCATGGGCCATGAGCCGACTAGCGTTTAACCAGCCTATTCTCCTACTTACTAAATACTCTAGAAAGATTGATCGACAAGTATATCAATGACGAGACACTAAAAATAAATCCGCTTCATCCTGGCCAATATGGATATCTACCAGAACAGTCAACTGACCTAGCACTGGATGATCTAAACAGGCTGCTTTCAAAGTCAATATATGACAAAGAAATCGCAATATCCTCTTTCTTAGACTTTGAAGGAGCTTGTCCAAAGAATGCTACCAGTGCCTAGGATACGTGGACGGCCTAACAATTATTATCGTCAGGGGGCGATATGCAGGAATAGGCGATCTCAAACAACTCTAAACATAGTGAACAACTAGTGTCAAAAGGAAAAATTGACCATTAACTCGAAAAAACAACAGTTGTACCATTCACAAAAAAATGTGTACTTACATGACTAAAACCACTAGTACTAAACAACACGGTTATTCCATTTGTCACAGAAACCAAATACCTCGGTGTCATATTTTATTAAAGGCTGACGTGGAATCAGCATGGCAAAAAAAGCCGTAGACTGCAATACGGCCACGCTTCAAACGGAATAGCGTTTTAACTCAAGAGGTCCAAAGAATTAAAAAGATAACAAAAACAAAAGCATTTGTGTTGCCGCTTTCCAGACAAGTTTTTTGGTAAATGCTACAAATTTTACTATGAATAAAATCTTAAACTAGGATATAGAGGTGACGCTTAGATCATATTTCAGACCGCCACAAAGAATTGCGACCAAATATCGCTCTGTCGCCATTTTTTTTGATGCCAGAGAAACCGTGATGTCATTTGTTTTTTACGAAGAGTTAATTAAAGAAAAGTGTTATTATTAAGTGATTACAATAGTAGTGTGTTCAGCTTTTGGCTATAAAAGTCGAAATGACAAAAAAAAGAAACCATGAATTATATTTCACCGGTAAAAGTAGTTTGTGCAACAAGAGTGGATATAATGGCCATATCGAACACAGACGAAGTTTTATATTTTTTCTATGACCCTCTAATGAAAATCTACAAAATTTAGATAGTATTAAGACAAAATAACTCTTTTAAAGATAATTTACACACAAATTTTAATTTAAAATTTTACTAATTAAATATATTTAGAAAAAAATGGTCAGGATTTGAACCTCGAACATTAGAACTAAAAATGTTGCACTAACAAAGTTTACTTAAAAAGTTTACTTAAAATTTATAAGTAAATTGGTTTTAGATCACTTTATTAAAAATTTACAGTTTCTTTGTAAATATAAACGAATATCTAGTAAATTGCCATTATTTTTCAATTCTTCACAAGAAGTACTCATTTTTAATTATATTTAATTTACAGGTGACGAAAACCTGGAAAACCACACCCACCATCATCGACACGGTAACGCATGGCGATTTTATAATCTGCATGTCATATTAACAGAAATTAAGTTTCTATTAATACGGCACACATCAAATCCTATAACGAACCATGCAATTTAATTAAAAATTCACATAGTCTGGTGTAGGATTCGAAGCATCTCTGCATCTGACAACAAACTTGCCTATAAATGAATATAAGCCACCGACTTGATCAACCGGAGTATTCATAAAGGCTTAAATGTGTGGTAGAGTCCAATTACAATAAAAAGAATACCGTTACGTCATAACTATTATTTCGAATTTCCAATATATATCATCTACAACTATCAATAAATAAAGAATATGATTTGTTTGGTTTAAATATGTTATTTCCAAATTTTTATAATATTAACACACCACTAAACCCCCTGTAGCTGTGTTCATCTTATTTTAATAGATAGACCATAGATATAAAAAAAATTACCCTACACTACCCATATCAAGCAATCAAATAGGGAATCTAAAAGTATTACCTATTCCAAGAATTTGCAATAGCAAAATTATAGAAAACTTATTCGATACCATTTCACACACAAAGTACACCACTCAAAAATCAAATTAATAGTTTAAATTCTAGAGAAAGATTCCTTTTAAATACTATAGGCAAATGGTGAAGAGCTTTAATCAGATAGGTAGGTATCTATCTATCTTTTTAGCGATAAAATATTGTGTTATTTGAAAGTGGAACATTTTTTTATCATGGATGATAATCATATTTAGTAATTGTAATATTTCGGTATTTTTTATTAATATGAAATTTGAATCTTGTGTCTACAATTTTTGTTAATATTGTTATTTATCTTTAAACAATTTGTGTCTAGGTACTCAATTATAACTTTGTGTACTTTATCTAATATGAATTGAATATTTTAACAAAAGCATTAACACACAATTTGCTTTTAACCTCCCAAAATAAAGAGGCGTACCGAATTCTACAAGGTTACAACATTTTTTATATTCTTAACATCGTATGAGATGTTATATTGGTATTTGTAAGGAATTATTGGAAGGCCAGTAAGAATTTAAACATTTTGAATTATTTCTAACATTTTTTTAAACTTCGTAGTTAGATAAAGTACTTTATTAATCGAAAATAGCCGATTTTGCAACTAACGGAGTTTTAACCGATTTTTTATTTTTTCTTTGTTTTTCGCGGCATGGTTACCACGATTACCTTATGTCATTGTTAATTTAAACAACTGTCATCGAAGGCTATTTATTAGGAGATCTAGTAATTTTTTTAACATATTTGCATGAGGTTAAATTATAAATGTATAATTAATTCTTACAGTAAATGAGCAACAAGAGAACGGCTATATCAAGTACTCTGTGGCGGCACCACACAAGACCTGGTGGGTTTTTTTGTAGCTTTTTTGTTACGCTATTTGCGAATTTGTAGCTTAGCCCAGGTCCGAAAAAACAGCGGATCCGCTAGCTTGAATTTCCATAGTAGTGGCACAGATTCAGACCCAGCTGGTTTTTCGTAACTTTTTTGTAACTTTTTTGTTACGCTAGTCTCCCTTTTGTAGCTTGTATTGAACCTGAGAAAAGCGCTGATCTGCTAGCTTAGCGGATATTTGTAGCGGCACCAGCTCGGACCCGGCTTATTTTTTGTAACTTTTTTGTAGCTTTTTTGTTACGCCTCTCTCGATTTCCTTGCGAGGCCTGAACGTGAGTAATAATCGTTTCTCCATGAGCGTGAGAGAAAAGTGCGTTAATTTAAAATCAAGTTTCGGCCTCTACAAGTAATATATGCAACTCGATAGTGTGACTATCTGTTGCTAGATGGCACCAGATGTGCATTTCACGAATTATGGCCATATTCCATCCAATATATTTTTGAGAAATTTAGATATAATCTCAAAATCAGACATTTTCAACGGTATGTATATTAATTATTTGTATACACTTCATTTGTAAGGTCCTGGAAGCCTCTTTACAACGGTGTATGAAAAAATCACATTCTTAAAAAAAATCAATTGCTTACAATAAAAAAAATCAAAACTGCGTTTTTAAATGAAATGTTCAAATTGTCGTCGATTGACATACAATAATAAATTCTCTCGAACTAATAAATAAAAAAAAAATCAAAACATTTTCTTATCTTGCCTTCGTTTTATGTTCTTAGAAGGTGTTTATCACGTTTCTTCGATCATTTCATGTGATAAAACAATAAATTTTTTTAAGAATGTGATTTTTTTCGTACACCGTTGTAAAGAGGCTTTCAAGACCTTACAAATGATGTATCACTCAACCCTTCTTCCCTATTCCATTTTGAGGGGTTGAAGCGCCCCTTCATAGAGGGTTTCTGGTTCAAGCCACAAATATACGTCAAAAGATGTCCCCCAAAGAAAATCACCCAAAGTGTTTCGAGAAATTTTTCCAATTGCTATGGGATAAAAAATATACGGGGTGGCTCGTCTGAGATGGAACACCCTGTATAGTTGTGATCGCACAGAATTAAACACTGCTCCATAAATACTGCAAAACGATTGGTTAAGGAAATCATTCAAAAAAGATGTAAGAAAATTCTTGATTCAACAAAAGTATAAATACATAAACAACACTAAAAAACATTTAAAAACAAATGTCCGATTTTGAGATTATATCTAAATTTGTCAAAAATATATTGGATGGAAAATAGCCATAATTCGTGAAATGCAATACTGGTGTCATCTATCAACAGATAGTCACACTATCGAGTTGCACCTATTACTTGTAGAGGCCGAAACTTGATTTTAAATTAACGACTTTTCTCTCACGCTAATTTGCGCTAATAGAGAAACGATGATTACTCACGTTCAGGCCTCGCAACGAAATCAAGACAGGCGTAATAAAAAACGTACAAAAAATGAGCCGGGTACGAGCTGGGGCCGCTACAAATATCCGCTAAGCTAGCGGATCCGCGCTTTTCTCAGGTTCAGTACAAGCTACAAAAGGGAGACTATCGTAACAAAAAAGCTACAAAAAAGTTACAAAAAACCAGCTAGGTCTGAATCTGTGCCGCTTCTATGGAAATTCAAGCTAGCGGATCCGCTGTTTTTTCGGACCTGGGCAAAGCTACAAATTCGCAAATAGCGTAACAAAAAAGCTACAAAAAACCCACTGGGTCTTGTATGGTGCCGCCACAGAGTGCCCGCTAGCTTGATATAGCCCAAGAGAACGGCCTCATTTCTTATATAAATTAACATGGGAAATCGCGGCTCTATCAAGCTAGCGGGCACTCTGTGGCGGCACCATACAAGACCTGGTGGGTTTTTTGTAGCTTTTTTGTAGCTTTTTTGTTACGCTATTTGCGAATTTGTAGCTTTGCCCAGGTCCGAAAAAACAGCGGATCCGCTAGCTTGAATTTCCATAAATTCCATATTAGCGGCACAGATTCAGACCCAGCTGGTTTTTCGTAACTTTTTTGTAGCTTTTTTGTTACGCTAGTCTCCCTTTTGTAGCTTGTACTGAACCTGAGAAAAGCGCGGATCCGCTAGCTTAGCGGATATTTGTAGCGGCACCAGCTCGGACCAGGCTCATTTTTTGTAACTTTTTTGTAGCTTTTTTGTTACGCCTGTCTCTATTTCGCTGCGAGGCCTGAACGTGAGTAATAATCGTTTCTCCATGAACGTGAGAGAAAAGTTTCGGCCTCTACAAATAATATGTGCAACTCGATATTGTGACTATCTGTTGATAGATGGCACAAGTATTGCATTTTACGAATTATGGCCATCTTCCATCCAATATATGTTTTTTAGTGTTGTTTATGTATTTATACTTTTGTTGAATCAAGAATATTCTTACATCTTTTTTGAATGATTTCCTTAACCAATCGTTTTGCAGTATTTATGGACCAGTGTTTAATTCTGTCGGATCACAACTATACAGTGTGTTCCATCTCAGACGAGCCACCCCGTATATTTCTTATCCCATAGTAATTGGAAAAATTTCCCAAAACACGTCGGATGATTTTCTTTGGGGGACATCGATCTTTTGACGTATATTTGAGGCTTGAACCAGCAACCCAGACAACACACCAAATCCCAGAGATATCCACAGAATATCTTTTGTGGATATCCAATATATCCATAGGATATTAGAAATATTCCGTGGATCTAATATGGATATCCAAATTTCCGTCTATATCCAGAATATAGAAGATATATGGATATCCAGCAAAATATCTAATGAGTATCTTTCAGACAATACAAAAAATCCCAGAGATATCCAACCAATAAATGTCCGTCTATATCCCAGGATATAGAAGAATTCGGATATTCAGCAAAATATTTTATAGGTATAGGTTCATAAGTAACCAATGATTATTGAATAAAGTCGAAAGAAAATAGCAGAGATAAAAAATATTTTCAACACTCTGCCTTTGATTTTGCACACTAAGGAGAAAGTTATCCTTATTAGGACTCTTCAGCAATAATTAGAAATTCTCGACTCCGGTCTCTAATGAAGTCTGATTATGAAAAATTTCGATCGAACTCAATTACGGCGGGTTGAGCATGAGTAGATGCGAAAGTAATATCGCCATCTATACTTAGTAAGCAAAATCAAAAATTACATCTAGTGGATATCCACGATGGTTTGCGTTCGCGCCTAGACTTTGATATATTTAGTGGATGTCCATGGGATATTGAATACACCTTAAGAAAATTAATTTTAAATATCTGAACGGTACTATTAGCCACAATGGCGTAATTTTTTTAATAATTTGCTATATAATTACTTTTATGGACATTTGCATGTCTATAAATTACAGCTCATGGATATAAAATAGATATCCACCATGGACTGGACATTCAGTGGATATTGGGATGTTCAGTAGATATCCAAAGGATTTGGTGTGCTGTCTGGGAACCCCCTATGAGGGGGCGCTTCAACCCCTTAAGATGGAATGGGGAAGAAGGGTTGAGTGATACATCATTTGTAAGGTCTTGAAAGCCTCTTTACAATGGTGTATGAAAAAAATCACATTCTTAAAAAAAATTAATTGTTTTATCACGTGAAATGATCGAAGAAACGTGATAAACACCTTCTAAGAACAAAAAATGAAGGCAAGATAAGAAAATGTTTTGATTTGTTTTTATTTATTAGTTCGAGAGAATTTATTATTGCATGGAAATCAATGGAAGACAAATTGAACATTTCATTTAAAAACGCAGTTTTGATTTTTTTGATTGTAAGCATGATAAAACAATTGATTTTTTTTAAGAATGTGATTTTTTTCATACACCGTTGTAAAGAGGCTTCCAGGACCTTATAAATGAAGTATCACCCAACCCCTCTTCCCTATTCAATTTTGAGGGGTTGAAGCGCCCCCTTATAGGGGGTTGCTCGTTCAAGCCTCAAATATACGTTAAAAGATGTCCCCCAAAGAAAATCATCAGACGTGTTTCGGGAAATTTTTCCAATTACTATGGGATAAGAACTATACGGGGTGTGGCTCCCCAGACAACACACCAAATCCCAAAGATATCCACAGAATATCTTTTGTGGATATCCAATATATCCACAGGATATCAGGAATATTCCGTGGATCTAATATGGATATCCAAATGTCCGTCTATATCCAGAATATAGAAGATATCCTATGGATATTCAG